ACCAATGCAAACCCTTAACATAAAGGCATATTACCGATGTCCTCTTATTACACGGTGCTCATAGGCATGCCCAAACCCATCATTTTTGGAGCAGTTCCACTGCCGAGCTTCGTTTGGTGCACTCCGAAGCAGTTTGTTCACAGCAAGTCATGATCGCTATTTGAATGTGACATGAAGCCTGATAGAAAAATCCCTGATCGATTATAGCAGCAGGACAGAGAGATATGAGAGGGAAGGGATGCAGGAGAACAGATATCCATCACTGTGCTGCGACAAGCCTGAAGGTAGCTAGTGATATGACCGAATTTGAAGGCAGCGTAGCACGTCTTTCTGCTGTGTGCAGGTAAACGCTCTGAGCAGCAGCCAGTTTGTCTTACAGACAGACCGATTTGGTATGAAAAGTGGATTTTGAAGTATGGATTTTGTTGGAAGTGGACAAAATAAACTATAGTATTGTTACCTTGAAAACAGTGTAGCATGTAATGATTGTTTGTACCTGTTTCACAGCTGCTTGCTACAGTTATTTTTTAGCTCCCACAGTTTTTTTATATTAACGATTTTAAAATGATTGAATATGAAACGTATGGCAGCACTTTATATTGAGTAATGAAATACCAGAGATGATCAACAAACTCTTTAATGTCAAGTTAGCTTTTTCCTCGTTGTTGGACAAGATCAGGCTTCAAAGCAAATTAAAAATGTGAGGCCAAATTCCGACTGCAAGGCAGGCAGTAGAAGGCCTCCTGTCAGACTCGATAAAAATAGGAGTAAATTTTCAATGCTAGTTCAGTCCATCCAATTCACTTATCTATCTGTCTTTATCTAATCTAATATATAGTCATGAGACAAATTACAGAAGCGTATGATAAATTGCGTTGCTATTCATTTTTGGCAAGATCACCTATATGCTGGCCACTAATTCATCTCCGCCAGGATTCATGCTAACGTTCCTTGAAGCAGGCTCCAAAATGGTTTTTTGTATTTTTTTTCTAAGAAAACAAAGAAATGAAATCTGCTGGCAAATATTCTCTTCACCCTCACCAAAAGGCAAGACAAGATTGCCACCTCTGTGGAATCACGCTGATATAAAACCATCAAAATGTATTTCGAGCATTAATAGTCTCAAAGATACCAGGTCCTTACATTGTATTTAGGTGGTAAACTATGATACAGATATGTTTAGGGATTTCAAAGAGTGGTTAATTTGGTTCTTTTGGCCTTGCTGATGCAGGGAAAGCTTTGCCATTGATTTCAGTGGGCTCAGGCTTCACCCTGCAATATTTAGAAATAGTTGAGGCATAAATGGTTACGTCCATCTAATTAGATGCACTGCTACAGGCACTTGAGAAATATGATAGACAGATGCATTCAGCTAGATAGATATCCCCTGGTGTAGCAAGCCGAAGTTAATTATGGAGTTAAACTGTGAAAGATTTGACCTGATGTCATTTATATCTTGAATCATAATTAACACTTAAAGTTCAACTCTATGGCAATTTTCTTTTAATAACACTTAAAACCTATACAGAGCTCAAAGAATTGCTTAGAAGTGATGAAGGATGACTTGAGTGGATACCAGAATTTCAGCTTTAGTAATTAAGCTTCAAAACACCTTTGCAAGGCATATGGGTAACATCATCACGCTTTAGTTTCTCCTCTGAAGAGAGGCAGAGTTTGCCCAATGCCTCACTGACGTCCATGGCACCGGGAGATAAGGAGTCAGGATTTTTCGACTGCTAAACCAGTGAGCACTCGGCTCATCCCTGCTCCCATCTTTTTGTCTCATTATAGTTTTAAATTCTACCAAAATCTTTAGAAAAATTACAGACAAATTGCTTGTCAAATGGCCTGCTTTTTCCAATTAGAAGCTATGGAAGTGCAGAAGAAAATATCTGCCATGAGTTTAGCTTCTGCTTCTAAGGTTTTAATGTGGATGAAATATGAATCGCATTGGGGGAGGAAACACACTCTCGGACTGAGACCTTGTAAGTCGAGCTTCAGCTCATTGCAGGTTTTTATGGTCACGTTGTAACTCCCTGAAAATGGGGGTTTAAAATGGAAGTGCTGACAAAACTTTTAAACTACAACAGTGGAAATGGCGCCGCAATAATTTATAATCTCCAGGCAGCTCTTGGATTTATTATCACAGTGACAAATGCACTGTCATTGTTAATAGGATATTTCCCAGCAAGGACTTCTTGTTATGCAAGCCAGGTTCACTATGTCATGCAGCATGATAGCAATAAAGTCTACAAGAATTTGTAATGAACTTCAATTACTAATAGATTATGGTTAATGGGAAATATGTGCAGTAAAGATATGGGTTTTTATATGCGCCTTCTGGTACTCTACAAGGCAATGATTTATGCTACAATTTATGTTAACATTCTCCTCGACAAAAAAAGCTGAAATTGGTGGAAAGCCACTTCATCCATAACAAATATTTAAAATAATTTTGCACATCATGTAAATGATGATGTAAAATTAGATATTAATCCATTTCATTTTAGCGTTTATATTTTTATTAAAACTGAAGACTTTGCCCTACCGTGTAATGACATCAAAAAAAAAATCATAGGCTGCGAGCGTGAATTACGTCGATGCAGGAGCAGCGACGGCACCTGAGACGTAAGTGCGCTTTGTTCAATTTGCGGCTGTAATTAGCAGAGCAGTGAGAATATTTTTATATGTATGATTTCAAGCAGCAGTCCTGAAGCTGCTCTGGACGAGCACATTTATTGCGGCAGGGAGGCGTGTGAAGACGGGGTCCTACCACGAGGGCGTGTTGGGTGGAAGCAACCTCTCCCTTCCCCGCTATTGCTCCCTCAAATGCCACCCCTCCCAAGCCAGCCGCATCCACAGCCACTCGGCTATTCCCGTCCCCGTGTAGCAAACCCCCTGTGGGATTTACCTCCGGAAACAACCACCTGACGCAGCAGCAGAGCCGGGAGCTCGTGCTGATATATCACAGAGAGCCGGGCCTGGGTATTTGTCGCATATTTTGCAAGAGTTTCTCCTTCTCCTCCCTTCCTCTGGGCTTTTTCCCCTGCACTTGTAGTATAGTCCATTTATTCCGGGTTTATGAACCTGTGAAATGAACAAAAAAGGATGCCTACCAATTTAAACAAAATCCCTGTTTAGGACCATCTCTGATGAGCGGGGCATATAGAGGCAACGCTAAGTATTGCATCTACGCACGGTTACGCTCCCGTGAAATGTTTGCACCTCACTTCTGAAGCACATACTTAGCAAGAAAGGGACATCCATGCACAAAATACCCATGAGATTGCTCTTGGTATGTTTTTCACCCCACTAGCCCAACACCCGTATTGTTTGGATCGGTTTTATGCCAGTTAGAAACCCAGGGACCTCCTCGCACGCTCCACACGGCCGGAGGAAAACTCTGCTGGTCAAGGTAAGATGGACTTTTCAGAGGAAAGCAATTAATGCGGCGCGGGAAGAGCACAGGTCAGCTGGGAATCGCTGCGGACACCCAGGTCCCCAGGCGGGCTGGGCTAGGCAAACCCGCTCTGAACGGTGGCACCTTGCTGGGTGACTCAGGGCCACATGCGCATGAGACTCTGTTTCTCCAGGCTGCTAGGAAGTTTTTAGAGAGATTTACAAAACACTCCTTCAGTTTTTATGGCCAAATGAGCATAAAATTGTCCTTCCTCCACACTCATTTCCTGCTAAATGATATTCACAGGACTTACTTCTTGGAAATGTGTGTTACCAATTTAAAATTAAAAGTAATCTTTCCCCTAACAGTGCTCATCTGACATAGTTTTCCCCCAGCCCCTAACAGAAGTAGCTACATAGAATGGAGTTTACCAGATTTCTTTCCCATTTTTTTCAGTGAAATTCTCCTCAGAACTCAACCCAACGGCAGAGAACGGCCTGCATGGCTCTGGTTTCGGGTAAGGTGTTTCCTCCTCCAGCCTGGGGTGGAAGCGCCTCTTCCGCAGTGAATTCTGCTTTTCCGTGCAGCTCCGTGCAGCACCACCACCTGCCCAGCAAGCACCCCCTCTCCCCGGGGCCTCTTCCACTTTCTGATTAAATAGGGTATTTCTTATGGCATTTCTGCGACTCTCAAGGATATATCACTTTCAACAAGGTTGATGTGACAACATGCAGAGATCCCTTCCTTCCCAAGTGCCATTTGGGGGGGGGGGGTTGTTGACAGCGCAGAAGATCTATGAAAATAGTTGTGCCTTTAATTCATTTTTCATTAGAAGCGCACGCAACAAGCTGTCCGAACGAAAGATTTTCTCTCTTTCACTCTTTGGCATGTCAGAAAATATTGAGGTCTTCTAATGCAGGACTCCGTACATGGCACTTTATAAAAGTGGCAATAGATTTCACTCTGCTCAGCAGCTGAGAAATATTGTGGAAATGTCCTAAAGTACACTGGGATTAATATTTGATCACTACGAGAAGTACGTGTTTCAAATAATTCACCTTAAAATGAATATAAACAGCTGTTAGTGCCCCTCTCATCTCAAATCTTTAATAATCTAAATGTATACACAAAAATAAAACATTATTTCTTGCAGCTGAAGCATCACATAAAGTAAAATATTTCAACGCTGAATCAAATTCTTTCAATGGTAGAAATCACACCTGTCTCCCTGGATAAACTGAGTATTCAGCCTATTAAATTCACTCAAGCAACTATATTGTATTCCACTAAGCACTGTGCCTTGCATACAGCGTAACAGTTCTTAAAAGCATAAAATCATTTAGCAAAACAAATGCATCAACTGCTCAACTGGAGACAGTTGCACAGGGAGAGGAGATTTAGGAGAAAGATCATGAGGCTCCTTCGGCCGGGAATCACAGTGAAGCATGAAGACGTGCTCCAGAGCAGGAACGTCTCCCTGGCCACAGAAAACAAGGTTCAAAGTAGTTTTCTCTTGCTGAAGGTCTCTTACTATACATAGGACAGATTTACCTGATGCTACTCCACTGAAAATGAAATAAATCCCACTGAAAACCATCAGTTTGGTTTCTGAATTTATTTTAACATCTTTCACATTACAAAGTTGACAAGCCGTATGTGGCCCTTGCTACAAGGCTATTTAGAGGCCGGCACCAGAATTTTGCATGTTTAATTAAAAATACAAGATAAGCCCTGGGTAACAGCAATAACTCGTTCCTAATAATGGTTTGTAGCAGGATCTGTTAGCAAAGTCCACCTCGCCAATGCAGCTGGTGCCACTCCTGCACCATGACCATCTCAGAGCACCTCCCTTCTGCAGCCCCGGGACACTGCAGATGCAATGCCATAAAAATAAAGTGAAAACACCGGACCAGGGAAGCAGTGCTGTTAAACGGCATTAACTGCAGAGACAGACGCAGGCAACTGCCACGCTTTCTCAAGACGTGCGGCTACTTTCACAGTAGCTAGAGGTACGATATTTCAAAATCACCACAAGTTGAAGAAATCTAGTTGAGCAACCATCCAAACAGTTGGCTGTTCGGAGCCCCAGGTTTTGCAAGCTGCACTGAGAAACTGTAAATTGCATATTTGCTCTGCGGAGAGTTTTTAACTGATGACGATAACATTGCATGCAGGCCATTATTATTTCTTATGCATCAGTCACAGTATATGGACTGGTTTCTGCACTGCTTTAGTCGATGGTCCAAGTTATACCTATCTTGATTATCCGTACAATAAAGCACTGTTTAGTAAGTTCTGCATGCATAGATTAGTACAGAATTAATCACGTATTAAAAGCTCACCTATAACAACAGACATTAATACTGATTTCTTAACAGGCTCCAGAAGGTATTCATCCATCCTGAAGTAAACTAAATCATTCATAAAGCAAGAAAATTTCTGACTTATTTCAGCTGTTAGCAGTTTGTGTCTGACTTTGCTTTTGGATGAAGAAAAGAGATAAAGTTAATTCATGGCTCTATCACTATTACACTCAGATTGTTGTTAAAAAGCACCTTTCCATCTCTTTCTTCGCTGCATTCAGGCTTTCTTAATTCTTCCATTATTTGCTGTTTCAGTTCAGGAGGAGCAGTTTTAGAAAACTCACAAGTTTCTGTCAAAAAATCCAGCAACAGCTCCCCATCTGTGTTCCCCTCCGTGAAACAGCTGGTTATATCCATGTGGGACGGGAGCTCGTAAAGCTGGTGCTTCAGCCCTGCTGAGTTGAGGATCGCTTCGATGTCAGCAGAGGTAATGTAAAAGCAAAGATCGTTTAGAGGTAAGTGAGACCCATACTTCTTCCACAGTGTTTCCCAGCCACTGGCTCCTAACGGAGAAATTGTAAGGAAAACGTTCAGGAATAAGGACAAAAACCTGTTTGAAGAAACTGTTAGTCATCTATTTCTTAAAGCGATTGTGGTCCTCACTGTGAGCTGAGCCTCCCTAAAGTTCGGATACATGTTCGGGAGAAGGGACCAAAGATGTCTGCCTTGCTGCCTTCCCGTCTTGGGGTGGGGAGTGCTGGAGCAGACAGACATGCTCCCTTCCCCTGAGCTCCCATCAAGCCCCCAGCAGAGGCCAGGGCAGCTCAGGGCATTCACTCCTCACCCCTTCCAGTCCCAACACGGCCCACCCCTCTTCCTCATGCAAAAAGTGATGGCAAAGGCCTATATTGCTTGAAGACGTCCACCTATAGCTATTCAATAGCTATTCAATGGCATCTTCTGTATTTAAGTTGTTCCTTGGGCTTCGGCTGAGAATTTGGAAGACCAAACCCTCTCTTATTCTTTCATCTAGGTATTTTGTGGTGAATTAGCATGTTCACTTCATTGAAATACTTATTACCTCTCTGCTACATGAAACATATAGGGGGCTATAGAGCTCCTCGTGACTCCGGGACGTGAGGTGGGACCTTGCCCTGACTTCAAGGCTCAGGGAGAAGACAGCGAGCTTTACTCACCCATCCCCGATAGCGAATGTGACACTCGCCCACGTCGGACCGAAGCTGAGGGTGGTCACACACCACCACCCCACAATGCGGGGCTGTGACTCAGCGCTGCTGCTGTAAATCACTTATAAAAGGATGGCCCAGAATGACTGGATGGGTTGAAAATAACTTCAAGCCTAATGAGCATCTACTGAGGGTTGTGACTATAAATCTCCATAACTGCTAAAACCAGTTGCTCGTCGATTTTGCAAATGGTTTATCTGCAGACAGTTATTTATGGTCAAATAAGCAGTTTGGTGTTCAGAAAAGGGACTACAGTATTTTCTTTCGCCTGGTGGAAACCAAACGCAGAGCACTAATTGCAGGAAATGTGCTGGTGTCAGTGTTGTGTGACTCTGTGCCATTTCTGAGCTGAGCAATTATACACTACCTGAACGAAGCATTATTATAATAGCTCTCAATAGGCTCAGCATATGGCGCTACTTTTGTTTTCAAGATGATCTAAACAGATTTTTTTTTAATGTGTTAGAAACAACACTGCGTAGCTCTTGAAACTTTCCCGGTCCCGTGACAGGTACGGAGCAGGAGGAATCGCAGCCAACAATGACTGACCAAGTGCTTTCCTATTAATCCTGTTCCCAGACTGATTTTTCATTAACACATCCTAATGTGTTTGTGTTGGCGATGACATTACCTTCATTTTTTTGAAATGAGCTTTGTTTGGCTTATCTTTCAGGACCTCTTTTTGTTTCAGCACTCATTTTCACATCAGCTGCTTCTCTTCTCCCTTCTCTGCACTCTTCTTCCCCTCAAGGTTTTTCCCCTTCCTTTGCTCTCTACTATTCTGAGCTCTGCTTCTCTTTTCCACTTTCTCGTTGGCCCCAGAGGCCAGATTTGCAAAATCTGCACCCATTGCCACGCACTGGTGTTTCCATCAGTCCTAGGTCTAAACGTCGAAGAGTTAAACATGGTCGCACAAGCGTGGCAAACTGCATGTTGCAGCGCTCGAGAGAAGAAAGAGAAGGAATGGGAAAACACAGCCCCACCTGGCCCAGAGAGAACTTCAGGTATTTTTCTGAAGTTCAAAATTTTAATCAAAAGAAATTTGAATAGATGTGTGTCCCTTCTGTATTTAAACTTCATGAACATCCAACAGTTAAGGAATTGGAGGAGCTTCCACTACCTATACTCGGGTTATCAGCAATAGCCTGATATTATGATCCATGCTTACGCAGCCAAAGAGCAAGAACTGTAACTCAGATCATTTAAAATATGGATTTTTTGTAGTTAACTGCTTGCAAACACTTTCAAACAAGACCATTGTGTAAAAAAATATTTAGTATGAATTCAGTGTAGAGAAAAGTTGCTTCTCTGCAGACAGCTCACGAACACAAAAAAAGGAACATCGTCAAATACATTATATTTTGCAGATATGGCCAAATTCAATAAAAACTTAGCATAAACCTCTGAACAAATAACACTTACTATCTCCCCCAAAACTATCAGATGTGACTGTTTACTAAAATTCTCATGGCTGAAGTGAGGCAAATTAAAGGCTTTCTAGAGTCACACTAGATTCCACCACTACAGTATCTTTAGCATATCTTGCCTAGAGTGTTAAAAGATCTCAGTTTGTTCTGCTCCTACAGCTCCCTGCTGCATTGACCATACAGCATCTCTTGCAGCTCTGAAACAGCCTAAGAATGGGGTTTTCCACATAAAAGGATGATATTAAGGAAACGGGCAGTTCGTGAAGAAAATGAACCATATGTGCTGCAACACCTGCTGTATGGCACGACTGAGCCCCAGCGTAGCCGTTTGCTTAATGCTGCAAGTCTCCAGGAGCTGCGTAATGTGGTGCTGGCTTCTGTAAACGCTTTTAGATAAACTAGCTTTAGCAGAGGCTAAAGGACCTCCTGCGAGCGCCATCAGCAGGACGAAGCCTCTCGGCAGATTTAAACGGGTATAGATGAACAGACACCATTTGTTACCCAGCCAGTTCACATAACCTCTCTCTATGATGAAGTAACTCAGGATATTTTAAATAAAAATAAATGCTAGCTTACAGCTGGCCTGCGTTGAAATGATGTACGCTCATGGGAACCTCCAAAATCTTCATCAGCTCTTGCCAGACTGAATGGCATGCATGGCCTTACCTGACACCAGGATGATGAGGAGCTTCGCCTGTGCCTCCAAGAGCCGGTGGAAATACCGGATGGTAGCCGGGATGTCTTTCACATAGTACAGCATCTGGAAAGAGCAGAAACGCTTGCAGATACATGATCCCAGGCAGCGGGTTTCTCTGAGGATTCGATGCAAACCCAGGGGAGACCACCGCCACAGGGTGGCCATGGGGTGCATGTGGTCTACAGAGCAAGCTCACATTCCTTTCTTAATCTGAGATGAAAAAACATGCCTTTCTTAGCCGTGAGTAGAAGGCTTGTAATGGCTTCAGTAAACTTAGCAATGCAAAGGAGAGGACAAGGAGCTTTGAGAACACTAGTTAAAATGTATTTTTAGTTGACTGCCACCCACAGCCTGGTTAATAGGACTACTGTGCTCAAAGCTGCTTTACTGTAACTCGTCTTTCATTTTTGCAGATCACTTAAACTGAAGTGCTTTAAATTACAGAAATAAATGCACCTTTCTTCCCCTGAAAGTGGATAATGAGGTCACATACTTCACGCATATTTTTAAGAGCCAAATCTTTGACAACATTTACTTTGCAGAGGCTTTTACCTGAACCATATGAATGAAGTCCCATTTTTTAGAGTCTTTTTCTGCATTCATTCGACTTTCATATTCATAAGCTGTCTCCTTGTGCCAGGTAAACTTTATGTTCTCGAGGTTTGATGTCTTCGCTACACGCTCTAAAATATGGGAGAAGACAGTGCAGAGTTATCTCAATTGCAAATATGAGATCCATTTCCATTCAGAATTGTAATATGTCCAAAAGTTATATATAAATCGGAAGTTTTGGTATCACTTCAATGTAGCAATAGAAAATTTAAAATATCGAGCCTGTATTTCACTAGGTGGCTGTCCAGATTGTTGTAGGATGAAGACTTAAGAGGGCATGATGGTGCTTACATCAGGATTTGAGTTTGGCAGTGAGCATAAAATTCCCCATTCCTCTCCACGACCATGAGATCCTCAAAGCCTGGGCATCTGAGGCCAAGGCCCGGCTTATTAGCGCGAGCAGACAGTTAGACCCAGGGCCAAGCAGTCTCCAATTGCACGTGTGCTTGCATCGCAGTTGCGATTTCCGAAAAGAAAGGCCATGGCAGCAACGGCAGTGTAAGGGCCTTCTGCCACCTCTCGAGTCTTTGGCTCTTCCTGGGGCTGCCACTAAAGCTGCACTGCAAATGAACCCAGGCCATTAGTTTGCAAGCAGGTTATTAACAAGCCGGTGGGGTCAATGGTCTGGCCCCACAGGGAGCTGCAGGGGTCATTGGAGGGACTGGTGCCCCACAGCTGGGTGTGCAAGGACCAGCTGGTAGCAGGACTCAGCAGGCTGACATCCCCGTTTCTGCCCTAATTTAGGCTCCTAAATGGGAGAAGGGTTGATGGCCTCTTTGCTTAGGACTTGCCAAAGCAATGTAGGCTGCTGTGCAAAATCTACAGAGCTGAGCAGAAGCTCAGCCACAGCAATGGGTTTTCTGCAGACAGGCAGAATAAATATGAAAGCTGCAGTGTGGGTCAAAGGGGCTGCGTTTTGGAGAGAAGAACAATTAGAAACCCGAGAAGGGCTGGGAGAGCAAACAGCTCCTTCTGGGAGCACATCTCTGGGCAGGTGGGAGAGGAAAGGAGCTTCATGCGGTGAGTGCAGACCCCGTCCCTTGACATTTGGTTTCCACTGTGTTCAGTTAAGTGAGGTTCTTCAAAACTCCGCAGTTCTGGCCAACTGCTTCTGGTAAAAGGGATAATAGTGTGAATAGACTGAAGACTGCCACAGGGAGTAGGGCACAGCATGTTTTCAAACGTCAGTACAATGCACATCCAGCACTTGAGTGTGAGGAGATGGAAAGACTGGAGAAGAAGATTTCAAGAACAAGATATACTGAGGGTCCTGATTCATCCTGGCATTTCTTCACTTTTGTGGGAGTGAAAGTGAGGGATAATTTTGTATTTAAGGGCATGCTGCATGCTAATGTCCATCTGCTGGCATATGGAGCTCATCTCAGCGCGCTCTTGCTCACCGCTCTGGATTGCTCCAGGACAAAGCTAGCCCTGATGTGATTCCTCTGCTTCAGTGGAGTTACATAAATTTAAAACTTAAATGGCCCAAAGGCAGCCTGAGTCTTAGCTACAGAACACATGTTCAAAAAAACATGATTTGCTGAGACCAGTGCCTTTATACCACTAATCACAACGTTTCTCTCTTTAGGCTCTGATTATGATATATTCCTATAGGATAGATGAGGAATAGCCCATCAGTGCTTATCTCCTTTATTTTACAGCTGGAAATGGGCTACCACTTCTGGCTATTGCTGCTGTTACTCTGTTTGCTTCCAATCATCAGTCACTGGCCCCTGTGCTTGCAGTTCAGATTTAATGGCTATTTTAAACTCAGGCTTCATTCAGCTGCAGATCATATCCTCATCACAAATAAGATGCCACAATCTGGGTCCATCTAATTGCTCAGCAGCGTGCAAAGAGACGCGAGGAAGAGAACCAAACCACTCACCAGCATGGGCTTTTAAAGTCGAACACACCTTAACAGATGTGAAAAGTTCCCCTTAATTTTACCCTCAATTCCAGGCAGATTTTTGCCTGGGGGAAGAGCCACTCCTGTGGCCTTGACTTGCGGCGCAGTTTGACCAAACGTAATCGTGCTGTGCCATGCAGGCAACTGCAGAGCTGCTCATCTGCCATGCAGCCGAAATACAGGCCATGGCCATCAAGAGACATGTTCATCTGGACACACACCAGGAATCAAGGAAACTCAAAGCTTGGCCACAGGACTTACGGCTGTGGAGAGCCTCTGTCATAACAGACATCCTAAGAGAAAGCTCCGATTGTCGTCATGGCAAAGCCCCAGAAAAAACGCTTTGCTCGTAAGCTTGGCTTACCCTAGCCAAGGAGAAAATAGCTGGTTAGGCAGAAAATTTAACTACCAAGTCCTCAGAGGCACAGCTAATGTTTCCAACTCTCCCAGGAAAATCTTAGGGCTCAAAAACCTCATTAATGATACCCACTGGGGACATGATTAATTACCAAATAAGAAGGTTTAAAGAAGGAAATGTAGAAGAGTATTTCATCTTTATTTTAAGGACATAATAAGGACAACATTTTACACTTTCTCTAACTTTCTACTGGGGAAAAAAAAAATCACCAAAATAGGATAGTGCAGCCAACAAATTGGCAGTAGACTGTGAAACTACTGGGAACTTTCAGCAGAAATCCAGTCTCACATAGCACACGGTCCGCAGCACAGACAGGATGGAAAAGGTAATTGGAAGTGCCCGAGCTGCCAGGACAAACCTAACACACGCTCCATGGCTCATCCTCTGCCGTCTGCGGCTGGAGCAGCGTAAAAGCAGGGAAGCTCACACCGGGGATCTGTGACAGGGCCGCTGGGATGGCAGTGGTTGCTCGTGAGCGCCCTTTGGGCTCCCCTCTCTGTTTGGCTTGTTAAGAGATCGGAACCACATAACACAGAGGCAGTTAGCAAAAAACACCTGAGAGTTCATAGTGTGGTGGTATTTCCTATGGTCGGGACCATTTCCAATGCTGCTGAAGACATTCATCCATGACTGGCACATTTTTCCAGCAGATATCTCTATACAAGGCTATAACTACCTGCTGGGTAATGCCTAGTGGATGCGAAACCCATCCTAAACCAGCAAAGTAATCAAACTGGGGATAGATATTATTTAATGCTCACTTTGTGAGGCAACTTGACCAAAGCACTAATGCTAACTGCTGCTCCTCCTTGGAAAATCCTATCATTTTCTTAATGAATGTCACTCAGAGCATCAGGCTTGTGGAAGGAAACACGGTCTAAGCCACGGAGCACAGGAACAGAGCAAAAGTCTTTTCAAACCATATTGCAATCTTTTTCATGTTTTCTAATTCTAAGGATGGTAACTAGCTTAGTGTAACACCGTGTATTACATTTACTTATGTAATATTTGGAAACAATTTTTAAAATAGGCAGATGAGAATTACTGTGAAACACTAAATTTGCAGCTTTCCCTTTAACCGTGTTCCAGGATCCTGATTCAGGGCAACTTAAAGGAGAAAAACAGTTTGCAGTGTGGAGAGTTTACTTTATTACCATAAAACCACACATCAGTTCCCACGTTGCTTAGCTTTCAAAATCTAACCGCGTAGCGATTTAGGGTGGCATGCCTGCACAGGACAAGACAGACTCCTCTGCCCAGACTGTTAAAGTCTTTTGTCAAACCATATTTTGCATATTTAGACATCGCAAAAAAATCTGTCTAGTCCCAAGTGTTCCCAGGCAGAGGTCTCTGCAGAGCAAGGGACCACGATTTTAATGAGAAAGTGAATATTGTTGAAAAGTCAGCAACAGCCAAAAAAGATAAATTACACAGAATGACTTTTTCAATTTTTTAGAGCGAATTCAGACAAGAAAGCCTTTGAATGGCAGATCATCCAGTATTTAGCTCTTTATAATGTATTTAATGCATTTAATGCAAACGCAATGTATCTAGCATAAAAATACCTTTGTAGCTGAAGATTTGCTCAGCACTTGGCTCTATCACCTCGTTGTTGATGGTGACCCCTGGGTACCTGGCTTGCACTTTTGAGAGCATCAGCAGGTCAATCTCACCTGGGGAGAAAGGCAGCATCACGCACAAGAGCAAAGCAAAGTGCAGGCAGTTATACCCAGCAGCAGGTCCCAGGCTTGAAGATTGATGCTTGCCATTTATGTATAGAAAACGTACCACACGGGGAATGGCGTTGCCACTAGGGATATAGCTCTAGCGTTTGAGAAAATAAATATCGGTCCCAGCAATCTTCATTCTTTGGACACGGCCTAACCTCTTGGGTTACACACGCAATTTGTGGTTATTTAATCCCCTGTTATAGAATACCCCACAACGGACTGTATTTTCTGCCTATGCTTCTCTCCATTTACCACCAGGAGGCTTGGGGAGACGATGCTCCTTGGGCACCAGTCCAGGGACAATATCTGAGAGGCTTCACTAGCTTTCTCAGGGCTCGCTTCTGCTCAATGCGCTTGAATAAATACGCGCGGTGAGCGCTTTTGTACCCGTGGGAGCTGCACTGAGGCAGGCGAGGGTCTGACAACAGCTGGAGGACCCCTCTGGGGTGAGGAAACATCGCTATGGTGCTCGGGCTCATCTTCTTCCCCTCCCACAGCCTTGCTGCCGGATTTTGGAGTGAGCCTTCACTGCGTCTGCACCACCCCTGCTGTCGCTCATGATCCTTCCTGCACCTGGGCTCCCACTAGCAGAAGGTACGTCCACTTTACAGGAGATTTGAGGCACGAAAGGACTCATTCAAGACAATATTGGTGATTAAAGCCATAAGGTGAGTACTGCAGCTCAACCCACCAAATGTCTCAACCCACCCTCCCCTCCGTGGCTCCTTTTTGGTGTGATAAGGTCTCTGTCTGCTTCTGACCCTACGTGGGCCACCACAACTCGAAAGCCCAATGGATTCACCTTTTCCTAAATGCCTCTGTGCCAACAGGCCCTAAGAAGGAAACAGGAAAAGTGAGGATGGGTTTGATCTCCTCGGACTCACGTGTCTTTTTTTTTAAGCCACTGGTAAGACCAAAGTTTACACGGCAGCTGTCTAAGCATGCTCTTTCAAGGAAGGGAAACTGCACCTCTGAAGTAGCATGAATAGCCCTGGTTTTGCTGTCACTACTAACCTTGCATTTTATTGAAACTCAGAGCAAAGCATGTTGTTAGTAGGCTGCCACGGTGAAATCTGGGAACACAGAATTTTTAATTAACTACTACTACAATAATTTTGTTTTTTTTTTTTAACCAACTTTCTGTAAAATGGATTAGTCCTTTGAAAAGGTCCCAATTAAAAAACATTTTGAAATTCACATTTCCTTATGCTGATAGGTCAATTTATTCCATTCCCTTCTTCTGTGGCCAAACCACTCTTGTATTGTTTTTAACCAAAAGAAAAACTTTGATTCATAATTTAATCCACAGCCTTAATTGACTTCAGATAGCTCTTTTATATGCAAACAAGTGTCCTGAGGCATTTTACAGTCAAATCTGTGGCAGCTTGCATTATCAACAATTTGGCAATTAGGCTATTGGAATTATTTAAACTTTCCAACACAATTACCTTTTAAAGGCTACCACTATGTTCACCATTAAGTTTCTAATTAAACATTTTACGTAACGGGATGGTTTATAGCACAGTTGCTACTTTATAGCAGCGTTGATGACTTTTATGGCTTTTAAAGGTACAGAAAGTGGTGCGCCGGAGCGTGAACTTAATCAGGCGCAGGCTGTAGGCGAAGGCAGCCTCCTCGGATGGGCTGGGGTAATGGGACACAAATGCGCCAGTAAACGATTATCTCCTGCTGCGGAAAAAGTGCAGAAGAGGTGGACGAGGGAAAAAGCAGCCCTTTCTTTCGGTGCTGCCTCCCCGTACGGAGGCGCGCGGATGAGCTTTATGTGGCCTCCGAAAAGCTAAGGGTTCCCACCCGCCTTTGAATGAGAAATTTTTCAGTGACTTTGCTCTCATCCCCCACCAAGGCCTCGCAGCGGTGACTTGCAGAGGTCGGGAGCAGCTCCCGACGGGCCTGCGTGCTCCCTGTGCACCGTGCTCTAGAGGGCCCTGCTTGAGCAGGGGGGTTGGGCTAGATGATCTCCAGAGGTGCCTGCCAACCTCGGCCGTTCTGTGATTCTTAGCGCTCTCCAAGCTGAGGAGGAGCTGTTGTGGCTTGTTTTCTTTTCATTTCCATGGCAAAATGAGCTTTGTTACTTTATTGATTCAATATCCATCACGCTAAGCTGGAGCGTCTCTGATTAGAGAGTTGAATACCTCACTAATAGAGTAAAATATTCCTGTTAAAAACAATATTATTTTTCTGGCAGAAGAATGGTTTCCCTTGTTTGGAAAGAAATGTTCCCACTGTGGCGCACTGTCTATTTTATAACCAATACTCTGCATTTACATACAGCTATTTTTACTTATAAGGAAAGATCGACAAAGCTGAGATTAGTCTTCAGAGATGGCATGACTACTGCATTTAAATTAAATTAACTCTTCATATAAAATTGAAGTTCAATGACTTAATGGGCAGAGCAGAATTAGAAAACAGAGTTTTTAATTAAGGGGGAACTTAGCAAGAATCTCCTGGAAAGAAGCCACTTTTCAGGGTATCAGTGTTGTTTTTCACCTAGCTGACTTCAGATAAGAGACTCAGTGCATCTCTCCCGCCAATATAGATGCCAGTGGGATCTGGTCAGGAGACAGACGTCTAGTTGGAAAATACGTGGACTACCAACCCTGGACAACCCCGACACAGCTCCACCACCACAGCCACATGCCAGCGGTGAGAAATCAGGGGAAATTACATGCAGGCAAGGTTGGAGGTGTCCCCGTCTCTGATATAGCCCCCTCTTGGCAAGTGACACGTTGGAAATGTCCGTGTGCGTACGCCTGGAGCGTTATCACAGACACTGGTGCATTGGGAACGGCAGCTGCAGAAGGGGCCTGTGCAGCGACCGCGGTCAGTGATGGCTCCCAGGCAAAACCAAGGTCAGCAGTGGCTGGCATACAGCAGCGGGCAAGGGCTATCAGTGAAGGGAATCTGCCAAATCAGCAAGTAGTTATGGGGACAGTAATTGGAATAAAAGTAAAAATTAATTTACTATTCTGAGGAACCTAAGACATAATGACTTTTTGCATAGAAACACAATGGACCTGTTCAAGAAAGACTGAAGCTGACTTTTCAGAAAAGGTGTATTGCTCACCCCAATCCTTTCTGTGACTTGGAATCCTCTACTCTTTGAAAAAAGGTAAAAGTATGTCAATATTGAAGTTCATAGCATACCTGCACCACCACCGACACTTAGAATATTGATTGTAGACTTCCCATTTCCAATACTGCAAAATATTATTTATAAATTTTAGGATAGCTACCCAGGAGACAGGGTTACATACATTGGGGGAAGTATCAGAGATCCTACAGAGATTAAAACCGACAGGACAAAATTAAATCCAATATGTATATGTGGATGTAGATCTACGCTTGTGAGCTGGCAGGCAGCATCAGATGCAGGACTCTGCTGTTCAGAGATTTCTGATCTCCAGTGATTATTTTGGCAACTCATAGAGGAGACCTTCTTTTATTAAAAGTACACACAAGCAGAAGCAACTACACTTTCTTCATTGCAGTGCTTAGAGGTGCACATATCTCCATGTACACAAATATATAGGTGTTTTATCATGTGCATTTGCACCTGGATTGCATTCGGCTTAGTTTTAACTTTAAATTGTGGGGAACTGAAGGTGCATATACCCAGGGTGATGGAAGCAAGCAAAGCACAGGGGAAAAAGGCAGCGTTACAGGGCAACGGTCAGGAGAAAAGCAAACACTCAGCCAAAGGACAAGTGGTGACTGACACAAGCTGCTGCAAGGGAAATTCCACTGGGTTTAAGGAAAATATTATTTACAGTGAGGGTGGTCGAGCCCTTGCACCAGGGCCTGGCGAGGCTGTAGCACCTCCATCCTTGGAGACATTCAAAACTCAACCATATGCAGCCAATCAGCCTGCTTTCTGCCCAAATCAGCAGCATTGCTCCAGACGCATCTCCAAAAATTTGCAAAGAAAAACCCCTTTGTCAGAACAATTGCAGTCATCTGCACTCAGTCTGTGGAGATGACCAGTGGCTTAACAATTATTATTTCACCCCAGCTGCCTGCTGTCCTTGTCAGTCTGCAAAGGGAGTGGTTCGGTGCAAAACGTACAAGGCACATAAAGCAATAGCGGTATTCAAACACAAAACACAATGGAAAACTAGAGGGAGCCTAAATATCACCTGAAATATTACTTTTAAAAAAAGATGGCTTGAATCAAGTTTAATGATAAAATGTGATATTGCTTACTGCATTTTTCATATGTTTGAGTTTATCCAGGATAAGCAACATTTGCATGCAAAGAAACAATTAAATCTTATCTGCTCCCTGCTAGCAGCCTCCATCACCAATAGCCAGCACTTTTCGGCAGCAAAACGTGATCTCCGAGCAGGGCACTGTCAGTGCTCGGCAGCGGGGAGGACAGCGGGGAAAGCAATCTGCAAGCCCAGGCAAAGCGATCTGCCAGCCCAGGCGTGAGCTCTATCCATCACTCCTGCAGCAGCACATCACCGGTTTGGCTTTTTGGACAAAACACCCGAGGTGGTTACCTGGATATTACACCGGGCAGCTGCTGCTCGATGAATTCCTGCATGCACTGGTGCTCGGTTGAGTTCTTCAGGAAGATGCGGAAAGACTCAACATATCTGCCGTGGTTGGTGATCAAGCTCTTCATGGCAGACGCCATCGCAGGTGCATGGAAGAAGAGGACTGCTCAGCTCTTCCCTTATCGCTGCTTTGAGACCTAGCAAAGAAATAACAAATAACAGGCGGAGAAGTGCTAAAGGTTTCAAACGTCTTGTAAACGACATGCCTGCCTTGAATTCGGCGTTGGCTGGACGCCAACAAAGGGGTTGTAAAAGTCACCGGTAAGCGGTCGCCCTGGACTTTGCTCCCCGTCCTTGGCCTGCCGCTTCATGTTGGAAAGCGTTACACAACTCCGTGACAGAAGCCGCAGATGAGGTTTGAGTAGCAAACAGCAATATAGCATCTTTAATCTCCACGGAGGATGTACCAGCTTTTTTTAACTATGATGACACAGGGTTCTGTTAAAATCCAGGAAAGAGTCTTCAGATGGTTCTTAAATAGAAAGAAATCTGCCCTGTTCCCTGAAGGCGTAGAGAGGTTTGAAAGACTTGGCCTGGATGAGAAGGCAGCGCGATACACATCTCCAGAGACACTCGCAGGTGTCTCCACCCAGCTTTCAGTCTTTTGATGTTCTGAAAGGGGATTCTGATAGTGGGGTGAAAACAATAAAAACCTTGTAAATACACTCTTTATTTTGCTGGTTCTTCTGAAGATAATGGTATGATTCCCATGGGCAAAGCACGTAAACGACTGGAACCGATGTAGTTTTAAGCCCGGCTTACACATAGAGGAACAGGAACAGGGGAGACAACATATGACATGGAAATATCGGCCAGTTTTCAGCAGTTTTCAGCAGAAAGGACTGCAGTGGCATCCAAGACACATCTACCACACATTCACTAGGTTTCTATTCTTGGGTCGATGTTGGTTAGAAAAAAAGAAAAGCCTTTTTAAAGAGTTAATGTCCCGTGACACAGAAGAAAAGGCACAAGCAAAAGAATCTCGAGAAGTCACATGGTCCATCAACCCCCTCCAAACTTATTTCTGACAGATGTTTATCTAACTAGTTCTTTAAAACCTCCAGTAACGGAGAGGGTGCAATTTCTGCAACCAATTCATTCCAATGACTCACATTGCAAAACTTTCTGATATTAGGCCTAAATTCCCCTCACTGCAATTTAACTCCATTACTTCTTGTCCTCAATGACAGGAAAAACGGAGGAATCCTCCGTCTCCTCACAGGTCCCCCTGTTTGAAGACCATACCAGTTCTCCCCACTGACTTCTTCTACCGGCTCACCGTCTCCTCTGGTTCTCCCTCAGAAGTTATGGTCTGTGGACTTCTGACTGTTATTATTGCTCTCTCTGGACTTTCTCAAACCCCTTCTGCTCCAAGCGCAGAAGCTGAGGACCAGCGCCTCCATCCAGGCAAGGCGGCGCCAGCTCGGAGCACGGCAGGCGGATAGCTTCACCCGCCCTGCCAGGACTACATGCTCCTACGAGGCTCGCCTGTGCTCTCCAGGGTGACTCTGATCAGTGCCTTCAGCTCGTGATCCCATAACCCCTAGGTCCTTTCAAAGATCTACTGCCTAACTAGTCATTTCCCATGTCATGTTTGTATGATTGATTATTCTTTCCGGAGAGTAGAGTTTGGCTTTTGTCCTGATTGAATTACAAGCCACGGGTTTTTGGGCTGGATTTTTTTCAGGCTATTTATCTAATCTTTCGCAATCCCTTTGAACTACAGTTCTGTCCTCCAGACTCCTTCCAGTCCCTCCCACCCTGGTGCCAGCTGCACATTTAATAATAAAAGTCTGTTCCACTACACAAACCATGAATGGGGACACAAAACAGTACTAGGCTCAGGTTCGTGCCTGTCATGGCCTTCCTTTGTGATAGCAAACTATTGGTAACTTCTTTCTGACTACCATTTGCAACCAGTTTTCCACCCATCCAACAGTGGTTGCATCAAGGTCTTCCTTGCTTGTTTAGGACAACGTCATACGAGACTGTGCTGAAGAGTCTCCATATATGATTTAACGTCTCTACCGAATATTACATCCCCGGGTGCTGCTCGGCCTCGGAGCAACAACAGCTCCTTGCCCAGATCGCCTCTGTGGAAGCCCATCCACCTCCACTTTCCTTGCAGCCACTAAATAAACTTGGAGAAGGCTGAAGAAATCGGAGGGCAAGACCTGGACCGTCTCCCCCCAGGCACCGCCGAGGCGGACGTCCCGGGAGCTGCCTGACGCGGGGAGACAACACGGCTCCAGTTGTTGCTGCACGGCGCTGCTTTAACGAGCCTGGTTTCGTTAGATAAGAGGGGTAATCTCACCTGCGCATTAGCAAGACAGACTAACAAATTGCAGCTAAATCGACTCTATTATGCAGACGAGCATCCCTCAGGCTGGCGGCGCAGTATCTGTTTCGTGCACCCCACTGAAATTTGCAGCTAATGTGCACGGGGGAAAACAAAAAACAAACAAAAAAATGAAACCCAAAGTCCAGCGCTGGGCATCACAAAAGCCGCGCGAGCTGCATACCTGGCCGCGCGGGCGGACGCCAGCCCTCGGACCGACACACTGACAGCTGCTTTCTCGGTTCGGGTGGCCAGCCTTCACGTCCCGAGCGAAGTCCCAGTTAATCTAGGGGAACCAGAAATAGTGTTTTTTTCGGAGACAGCCAGAAGGTGAACCCCCAGGGAACGAAGGGCGTCTGGCGAACCCACCCGGCAAAGCGAGTGGTATAGCCCGTGTTTGCCCATTCCCCCGCTCCCTGCAACACCTTGCTCTCTAAGTGGATAAAGAGGCGTTGTCGTTTGCCGTTAAAATAGCTCGCCGCCTTCAGTCTTGAAGGAATATTTTATGGTTAATATGAGGAGATTTAGCTAATCAAGCTTTTTATGGAACGCCTTCCGCTTCCTGTGAATTAATTTGCCCATACCCCGCGCTTGGCTTTCTCTAATAAAGAACAGCTGAAATTCATTTTCGCGTTAGGTGCAGTTCAAGGGATTGGACTCATTTATTTCATTACACTTTTGGCTGTTCGAATTTGTCTCATTTATTTCACGACGCGTTTTGCTGTTGGAACGGCAGCCAGCGCTCTTGAGAAGGCAGGAAATCATTTT